CAAATAGATAAGGGACCAACGTGCAAACTTTCTAAACTAACCATCCATATTAAAAATACCATACAAGTGAAGGAGTAAATAAATAAGACTGAAACATAAATATTAAAAAATTACAGGCAAGAAACGTAAATATACCATCAGCAAGCTCAGTGACTAAAATAAAATAACAGAAAGCAAAGTGCCAAAATCAAAAATAAGTAAAACATGAAATATAACATATTATTGACTAAATTGAAAGTAATAAAACTAAAGTGCTAAAAATAAAAATAATAAAACATAGGGATTCATGGACTAAAATGTAAAATACGACATAAAGTAGAGGGGCCTAGAAGAAAATAAATCAAAATGTTAGCGTTGAGAAGTAAAAAAAGGAAAATCACTAAATCAGTCCCTAAGTATTAAAAATAATTTAAATAGTCACTACACATGACCATAATGCAAAACACACCTAAAAGTACAGGGACCAAACAAAAATTAAACCAAAAATATATAACATGCATCAAAAATATGTAAACTACAAAAATAGTCCATGTGGGTGACCATTTTGCAAAAAAAAGCTAAACTTAGGGGGACCTAAGTGAAATTTCCACTTAAAATAGATTTTAGAGAGAGATGGTCTCCGCTCTCTCTAGAAAATCGGCGGGTTGTCAGTGGGTTACATCCGTCGACTGCCATGACGTCTGTCGCCGATCGTCGTGTCGTCCACCACCGTCGATGGCCACCAAATTACATCTGGAGGTCCGTCTCAGCCACCCCGTCTCCGATCTGGGGTCGGTTTCGCGAGTATAGGCTCAAGGTTCACAAATCTAGTCAAAACCATTCGACTTTCTCTCTCTGATCTGTCTCCGTCAGCCGTTGAATCGTAGCCATTTTTAGATATGTCGTTCTACATTGTCTTATCTTCCTTCTCAATGGTCGATCCACAAACCGAGCCCTCATACGCCGTGAGCGTCGCTGACTGAATGGGTAAGAATCCATTCTCTCCCTTTTTTTCTTTGTTTCGAAATAGGAAAAAATATAAAAAAAAGAAATTTGTTTAAACTTTTTTTTATTTCTTTTCCTTTCGAAATGTTACACTATGTTTTGTTCGATTCATAGTTCTATTTTCTAGAAGATTGATTCTTTTTTTCGAGAATGTTTTTCAGTAAAACTCAGAGCCCCTTTTTTTTCTTTTTCGGCTTCTCCCTTTTTTTTGGATTGATTGTTATTGATATATGTTGGAGCTGCTTGAATGTTTGGTGAGGTTTGTTGTTGGTGACAGGGTAAGCTTGGGATGACTGCAGCATGGTCACGGGATGGCTGTTGCAGGCAGTTAGTGGACGTGTTGGAGCAGCGGGGTATGGGGTAGGGGTGTGCAAAATTACCCGACCCAGTTGACCCGACCCGTCGACCCGAATCTAAAAAAATCGGGTAATTCTCTAAAAAAAATTACCCGGTCAGGTCGGGTACCGGCCGACATTTCCCGGGTCGGGCCCGGGTCACAAAATCTAGTTTTTCCGGGTACCCGGTTACCCGAGTACCCGGTTAGTTTTTATTTTTTTATATTTTATATATAATTATATAAAATATAATGAATTATTTATATTATGGATTATTATATTTTATATTTCGAACTTTTAAATTTTATGTTCGGATATTAGAGTATGTAATTCGAAGTTTCGAACATTTAAATTTGTGTATATTTTTTTAAATTAATAATTTGAAAATAAAAAATTAAAAACCGGGTATCGGGTACCCGATTACCGGGTACCCGTAACATCCGGGTCGGGACACGGGCCGAAAAATCGTCGACCCGGAAGTTCCGGGTACCCGGAAATCAGGTACCCGGATTTGCACACCCCTAGTATGGGGTATGGCAGCAACAAAAACTGAGTCTGGACCGGGTCGGATCCCTCTTTGGGTTGGGTTGCACACTGGGCCTGAACCGGGTTGTAATATGAGTTTTAGGTTTTGCAAGGTATGTTGGGCTTGATTTGTAACTTGGGCTCAGGGTAGGGCATGCAAAATAAATGTAAATATATATTAAATAATAATAATAATAATAAATAATTAATAAAATGAGAACCCATGCAAAAGTGGGTGTCTACACTTTTAAATCTGTTATACTGTAATGGCTTAGAGAGCAAGAAACATGCAAGCTAGTAATGTGACAAAGGGTTCGATTGTTGAAAGAACAATCACATCTGATGGAAGGGTTGTTAGCAGGATCCTCGAACACAGAAAAGCTTTCGGTGATGGCAGTTCCACTGCATGGCTCTCCACTGATGTTCCATGAATCCACCGCTTGTATTTGCCATTGTTGGAAGATCGAGTTCAATGCCCTCACTATTTCCCCCCATTCATTAAACTATCAGTGAAAGGAACGAAAAACATTAAAAAATTATACGAGCATATTAGCATATGTATCCCTCTTACAAAATTAAACATGCATCGTATAAGCTGGAATCACCAGCTACTTCAATCCAAAAAAAAAGTACCATAGCACGTTAGATACCTAAAAATATGTTTGTGTATAATTAAAAACATCATTGATGCTCAAATCATGCAAAATAATATTCTTTATTAATTATTAAAGTTTAAAAAAATTCGATTTTTCTTTATAATTAATCAAGACTACTAAAAGAATTTCTAAATAAAAACTAAGATAAATTACGCATGTAGTATCTAAACTATCAAGTTTAGTTTATTAGTACTTGAACTTTTAATTTTTTTAAAATTATATCTAAAGTTTAGTTTTTGTTTCATTTTATTATCCGCCGTTAAAAACTTTAGTTTTTTGTTTCGTTTGAGCACCTTGTTAAAAATTTAAAGTTAAGTTTTGAATTTTTTTTTAAAAAATTTAGGAACTAAAATGGACGAAAACTGATAGTTTAGGTACTAAACGTGTTAAATTTTTAAAGGATGGTACTAAAATAAAATGAAAACTAAACATTATATATAATTTAAAAAAATTAAAAGTTTAGATACTAAAATAGATAAAAACTAATAGTTTAAATACTAAATACATAATTTGTCCTAAAAAATAATCACACTTAAACCACTCGAACCGTAACTTCTTGAGTATTGTAATATTTATTTATTTTTAATGCAACCTTTAATTTTTTGGATAAACTACACGAGAGACCACCAAACTATGATTATTAATCAATTTTACCACCGAATTAATTTTTGTCTCAATTCGACTACCAAACTTTTTAATTGATTCAATCAGACCACCGTACCGTTAATTTTAACAGACTTTGTGACGTGTCCGTTAATAAAGTTGGCATAATTATATAATTGGTCCTTAATATTTACATATTCTATCAATTTAGTCACCATTTTAATTCAATTACATAAATTTAACTATCCAATTAGAACATGACACGTATCACCACCCAATTGAAATAGAAAATAGAAGAACACGACAATGCAGCAAGGAGTTTCAAACCTGTGTCTAAGGGGGAGAGTAACCAAGCGCCCAAACCGTTGGGTCAAAGCTCCCAATGGTTTTACCTTATATCATTTTGTATTTGACTTGTAAAAGTTTGTTAATGATAAAAAAATTAAACAAATTATTTGTTTAAATATTTTTTATTTAACCGTTAATCGAACCGAAATTTATTTTAAAATATTAATCGAACTAAATTAACCAAATTTTTTCTTTAACATTAATCGAACCAAAATTATTTGACCGTTAATCGAACCGAAATTTATTTGAAAATTATTAACCGAACCAAATTAACCGAATTTTTTCTTTAAAATTAATCGAATCAAAATTATTTGACCGTTAATCGAACCAAAATTTATTTGAAAATTATTAACCGAATTTTTTCTTTAACCATTAATCGAACCAAAATTATTTGACCGTTAATCAAACACAAATTTATTTGAAAATTATTAACCGAATTAACCGAATAAAATAAATTATTTTCTTTAACCGTTAATTGAACTGAAATTTATTTGAAAATTATTAACCAAACCAAATCAATCGATTTTTTTCTTTAAACATTAATCGAACCGAAATTATTTGACCGTTAATCGAATCGAAATTTATTTGAAAATTCATCCCTTTCATCCGAAAATACCTTAAAAATATGACAATATCGCTGCTCTTCTTTGGAAAATAAAATAAAAAATACAAGAAAAAAAGACCCACTTTCACACATTAAATAGGCTTCTAAAATGTATCTTTGGTAATTTTCTTAAAGTATTATTAGTTAAACTATTCATTTTAATCACAAAATCAAAATATAAATGGATAAAAAATTAAAAAAATAACGAAAAGGATGGTTTTAAACGGATCGTCAAATTTTACCCTTACTAATGTTTGAGCTCCACTTAATTATGTATTTACATTTTACTTTAATAATTTAATACTAGCATCTTTAAACATAATTTATTACTTAATAATTTATTTTAATTACTTAAAATTAAATAAAATTCATAGTACTAATAAGGGTAAATAAAAGTCATAGTATTCATGTCTACAATTGACTCTCTATCTTTTCAAACTCACTTTTTAATATCAATCTTAAATAATTAAATTTTAAACTACATTTAAAAAAAATCTTTTTTGATATAACTTATTATTAATGAGTTAATTCATCAAATAAAATATTATTATAAATAAAATTAATATAGTTTAATTAATCAATTGTTTTTGATCAAATGAATTAATGTCACCGATGATATATTTGAGTTGTAGTGATTATTAATTGTCCACTTCTTCTGATTTAAGGAACATGATAAGTAAAATTAGTAGATAATATTTCCTTTAAGTTCGAGTAAGTAGAGAAATGAAGATACTAAGCCTAAGTTGAACGATTATAATAATTTGACATTAAACTTAATTATGATAAATTATGTGAATACGTCGATAGTCGAGAAGATAACTTTCAAAAGATATGAAATTTTTGAAGAAAAAAATATTATTTTCGTCTTAGTAATTATAAATTATCCACAATAATTTGTTTATACTAATCAACATTTTTATACAGAATTTTCAACTGAACTGGAATTAATCAGATTATTAAACGTAGGGCGTTTATTACAAGACAACTTACTCTCTGCAGAAACGTTAGTTTGTAGAGCTCACTCTCACGGTCTCACCTTCCTCCCCTCTACAACTTACGACTGAATAGAGCATTGGTTGATCATCTTCCCCTGAAAAAGTGTTGCCCTTACTCTCGATTTCACTGCCGTTACGATCGGATGCAACGGTAGATAAGGTGCCTGTTACATCCTTATAGTCCCAGTCGGTTAAATAACTCGGTTTCGTCGTAACAGTGCTCACTTCGATATCTCCTGCAAGCATAGAAACAACACGAGACATGGGTGGCCGCATTGATGGTGATGCCTGAGTGCATAGAAGTGCTACCCCTATCACTCGGAGAGCTTCATTTTCATCGAACTCTGTTACTTGCGGGTCAAGCAAGCTCAAGAGTTGGTTATTTTCGTTCAGGGTCCACACCTAAATATATCCAAGAATAGTAATGATGAGTACTCCAACAAACAGTACTACAAAAGGGAAAGATGTCCTTATGGATTACCCATTCTAGAAGATAAACTCTGTCATCTTCTAATCTTTTGTCTGAGTTTGGTCTACCACTCATAATCTCCAATGCAACAACTCCGAAGCTAAAAACATCAACTTTCTCTGAAAGATGCCCGCGCATTGCATACTCTGGAGCCAGGTAGCCACTGCAAGATTATTTCATTGCATTTGTTAATAATGTTTACTGATAAAACTACTAATTCTAGCAATTAGGCAGCACTGATGAACAAAATGGTCGAAAGGTCTTACATCGTTCCAGCGGCGCGAGTTGTCATGTGTGTATCATTGTCATCATATAGCTTTGCCAATCCAAAATCGGATATCTTCGGGCAGAGCTTTGCATCAAGCAAAATATTGCTTGCCTTCACGTCCCTATGAACAACCCTTAGCCTAGACTCCTCATGAAGATAAGCTAGGCCTCTTGCAGTCGATAAGCAGATATTGAACCGGGTCGGCCAATTGAGATGAAGTGCATTTTTTCCTGCATTTGCGGTACAATTGTCCATTAACCAACAAATAATAGCATAAAATTGTCATATTATATTGTTCTCATACCCCAGAGTGCCTGATCAAGGCTTTTGTTCACATGATACTCGTAAACAAGGAGTCGCCTATTTCCTCCGATGCAGCACCCATATAGTTTGACAAGATTACGATGTTGAACAGCTGATATGGTAGCTATCTCAGTAAAAAATTGTTCTTTGCCCTGGGTTGATGCTAGAGAAAGTTGTTTCACAGCTACTACTTTCCCATCAGAAAGTGTACCCTAAACCGGAACACGATTTCGTAACATTGTATACAGGTCATAACCAAAGTGACACATACTGAGAATGTTAGACGTTGTTTACCTTATATACAGGTCCGAACCCCCCTTCTCCTAACTTCTTTGAAGAACTAAAGTCTTCGGTGGCGGCTTTCAACTCGGAATAACTAAATGTGTTTGGTCTAGGGCTGATGCCAAGAAGCACTGCAGAGTCAAGTAAGGCAATAATTACTTGGCTGTAATTTCTAATATGAACGATATGATAGATATATTTTATGATAAAAAACCGATGTTTTTACCTTCCTCGTCGTCGTCATCTGTGTTTCTCTTCACATAAATAACTGCAAAAATAAGTATCAAAGCCAATGCCAAAGCAGGAACCGTAACACCAGCAATCAATGCAGTGTGGTTCTTTTTATGATTTCCTGATGGTATCTCATTAACAGTAGGTCTGAAATCTGAGAAACAAAATAGATGTATTAGAAACAGAAAACTGAAGATAAGCACATGAAGCATATATTACATAATGATTCATAAGTGTTAAGGTCTCTTACTTGGAGTAACACGAATAGCCGAAATGGATGGACCATAATAACCTGGTTCTGGTGCACAGCAAGTCCCCTTTGTCGTAACCGGTTTTCGCCCGGGCACGAATTTTTTTTACTTGGTTGAAAAAGTGATGTGAATAAATGGTTTTGAAAAATAATTTGGGAGTCGCCATCGGCTTTTTGGGCCAGGTAGGTCGAATACCTAAAAATTATTTTTTTAAAAGAGTTTTAAGAAAACATCAATTAAAAAATGAACTGATCTGCGTTTATAACCAAAAATTAGTTCTTTTTTTTTTAAATAAAAAGGATTCGTGGTCGATTACGTTTAGGGAATGATTAGCACCCCTACAACGCCCAAAATTGGTACTTTTTAATTATAAATTGTCTCTTATTATTAAAATTTAAAAATTCAAAAATATATTTAATTTATAATCTTATTATTTCAAAATTATATATAAAAAATATTTATTTATTTAAAAATATCAGAAAAGAACTTCTAGGTGCCTTAAGACAGCTCTTTTCTTTGATATTGATAAATATTAATTTAAATAATATTGTTTAATTTTTAATTTTAAAATATCAGAATAGGACATCCAGTTGTATTAAGACTGTCCTTTTCTTCGATATTAAAAATAAATATTAAAATAATTTATTTAAAATAAATATTTATTTATTATATAACAACATTTAAATATATAAACAAGTAAAAATACAATTCTAACTATATATTTAAAAGCAAAAAAAAAAAAAACTTAAAATAAATGACTAAAATATAGTGAAATTAAAATTGAAAAACCTAATTCATAATTAATCAGAATTACAGAGATTAAACATGCTATTTTCTTATTTAATAATTTAGTGACTGAAATAAAATTATCTAAAATTCGGATATTATAATAAAATAAAATAAAAATATAAACTAGGGATTAAAATATTATTTATTAAAATTAAGGGATTAAATCTGTTATTTATCCTAAATATATTATTTTAATATAAAGGACTAAAATAAATGAAATTAAAATTAAAGATCTGAATTAAAAGTATTATAAACTCAATTTAGTGACTAAAATGTAAAGTTTACAAGTTTAGATGGCTGCGGAAATGATTTAACTATTCTTTAATTACACGAATAGCCCTCCCCAAAACGACATCGTTTGGGAAGGGCTATTTAATGCCCAAGACAGCCGGCCCTTCGGGCCATCTCTTTCATTTTCAATTTTCATTCTCTCTCTATCTGAGAGAGAATGAACAAAGCTCTCCCCTCTCTCTAGCTTCCCTCACCGGAGGGAAGCTGGTCACCGGACGGCCACCGTCTGCCGCCGTGACCGTCACCGCTGGCCACCGCATTCGGTGGCCGGAAAATTTTATTTTTATGCTATTGGGTAGATCGGACCGTCCTAAGGACGGTCCCGGTGTTCTCTTCCCTTAAAAAGCTCTGAATCGGAGCGAATCTACAAAAATACCTTCGGCGTTTCGAAGGTTCTGGCGAGATCCGGTGGCGGTTGGGGTTCTCCGATGACAGTAAGTTTCCATTCTTTCTTTTTCTTTTCTTTCTTTTCTGTTTCTTTTTTCTCTCTCCCTGTCTTTTTTTTTCTTGCAGATGGGGTGATGGCTTTATAGCCATCACCGGTGTTCGTCTCAGACCGGTCCGAAGAATGCCCTTTGGTGAGTCACCGGACTCCCAGTGGTGACTCACCGTTTGGGGGAGACGTGTGCGGCTACGGCCGGCCTTCTGGACTCTTTGGTAGACGTGGTGGAGGCTGGAACGTTGGTGTGGCGGTGAAGTCTTCTGGAAGCAGCAGCGGCGGCGGTGGGACGTGTCCCTAGGGTATTGATACCCTAGGGTTTCCTCTGGCAAACTGTGGACCGTTGGATCAAACCAGATCCAACGGCTGGAATTGAAGATGGCGGCTGAGGAATTAGAAAACCCTAATCTGTTAGGGTTTGTTATGGGCTCGTTGGTTTGGGCCATCAAGTTTGTAATTGGGCTTCCATTTGGGCTTGTAATTTTAAATAATAATAATAATAATAATAATAATAATAATAATAATAATAATAATAATAATAATATGAGTAAAAAAATTAGTATCTTCAGCTGCCCCTCTTTGCTCATTCTTGTGTTAACAAGAATAGGGCAAAGATGAAAAGATAATAAATTTTTTTTATCCATTTGGCTTCACTTGATCATAATGAAGATATTGAATAAATTCTTCTCTCTCTCCAGATGAGTTCTTCTCATTATGAACTTTCTGCTGGGGATGATGATGACCTCCTTTTTTTCTGTGATAGAGTCATTCAAAAGGTTGAATAAGCTTTTGATGAGTTCTTCTCATTATGAACTTTCTCTTCTTTCTTCAGATGAGTTCTTCTCATTATGAACTTTCTCTGAAAAAAATAACCCATCAAGTAATAGATTTGAGCAAAAAGGTTGAACAAATTCTTCTCATTATGAACTTCTTCTTCCTTCTTCAGATGAGTTCTTCTCATTATGAACTTTCTCTGGCAAAAATAATCCATCAAGTGATGAATTCAGACAAAAGGTTGAACAAATTCTTCTCATTATGAACTTCTTCTTCCTTCTTCAGATGAGTTCTTCTCATTATGAACTTCTCTGGCAAAAATAATCCATCAAGTGATGAATTCAGACAAAAGGTTGAACAAATTCTTCTCATTATGAACTTCTTCTTCCTTCTTCAGATGAGTTCTTCTCATTATGAACTTCTCTGGCAAAAATAATCCATCAAGTGATGAATTCAGATAAAAGGTTGAACAAATTCTTCTCATTATGAACTTCTTCTTCCTTCTTCAGATGAGTTCTTCTCATTATGAACTTCTCTGGCAAAAATAATCCATCAAGTGATGAATTCAGATAAAAGGTTGAACAAATTCTTCTCATTATGAACTTCTTCTTCCTCCTTCAGATGATGAGTTCTTCTCATTATGAACCTTCTCTGGAAAAGCTAATCCATCAATTTGATGAATTCAAATAAAATGTTGAACAAATTCTTCTCATTATGAACTTCTTCTTCCTTCTTCAGATGAGTTCTTCTCATTATGAACTTCTCTGGAAAAGATAATCCATCAAATGATAGATTTGAATCTTTGCTAAAGTCTTTGAAATTCCTGTTAAAAATTCAACATAGATGAAAATGAATGAAAATGCACCTATTTTTGTAAACACCTAAAATATGATGCATGAATGTTAATTTATTTGATTTCAGACTGGTGAATTGAGTATTTCTTCAATTGTAAAAACCCAATAGATCTTTCTTCTTCAAATCAGAGAATCTATCATCTTTGACAAATGTAGATATAATGTCACAAAACCTCTTGAGAATAAAACTCAATAGTATAGGCTCTTGAAAAGCTTGCATTCAGGCAACATGTTGATTCTGATAACAACTCATCTGATTATGAAGTGACCTTTCAAGATGATTTCACAGATATCGATAGTTCTTCTAATACTGAGAAATCTTGAATTTTGATTCTGATGAGGAGAATAAACTGTTATACTTGACAAAAATGAGATTCTCAAAGGCTGAAGCTTCAATAGCCATGTAGAGATGTGTAGTCCAAATTCATCAATTGCAAAATTAATAGATTTTACATGTGCTGTTCAAATGACTAAAAATGCTGACGCACTTCTTCCGGTAAAAGATGGGAAGCCATTATGTAATAATCCCAGTTACAAGCAAAGACGAAACTTATGCTATGATTTTTGGAAAAGGGATAAGCAAAAGAAGCTTGAAAAGAAACTTCTTAATGAAGACGATCATGCAGTTCATCTTTTAATTCCAATGATTGGTTTCTGGGGTTCCTACCGAATCAGATCAGATAACTCAAAGAACACTTCCAGAAGATGCTATTGGCAAATTATCTTCTAAATTCAATGATTGGTTTACCAAACCAGATCAGATAACTCAAAGAACACTTCCAGAAGATGCTATTGGCAAATTCATCTTCTAAATTCAATGATTGGTTTACCAAACCAGATCAGATAACTCAAAGAACACTTCCAGAAGATGCTATTGGCAAATTCATCTTCTAAATTCAATGATTGGTTTACCAAACCAGATCAGATAACTCAAAGAACACCTCCAGAAGATGCTATTGGCAAATTCATCTTCTAAATTCAATGATTGGTTTACCAAACCAGATCAGATAACTCAAAGAACACTTCCAGAAGATGCTATTGGCAAATTCATCTTCTAAATTTAATGTTTGGACTAGGATATCACAATGCTTATTCGAGGTAGAGCCAGAATTTGTAGATTCGAAGCATTTCCATGCTACTACACTGAAAAGGGCTATATTCATAATTCTGCCAATTAAGAACAGATTTTCTCTTTATTCTGCTTCCTCCATGTGCTGATGCTTTTCCATTGACAAAGAAATGATGGCCTTTCTGGGATCCAAGAACAAAGTTGAACTGTTTATAAACATGTACAGGAAGTGCCAAATTGACAGAAAAGATCTGTAAGGCTCTTGAAGCTTATGACAATGAGCCACCTTCGAGTGTCCAGAAGTATGTTCTTGATGAGTGCTGAAAATGTAATCTAGTATGGGTTGGAAGGAATAAAGTTGCTCCACTTGAACCTGATGAGGTGGAAATGATTCTAGGTTTCCTTAAAAACCATACACAAGGATCTGTATAGAGATATGTTTCCCAGTGATATCAATGTCTTGTTTCTTTTTGCTGAAATCAATGCTACAAAAGTTGCCTTCTACTGTCTTAGTATATTTTTGAAAACAGATGTGCAAGAACTGAATGGTGATCGGTTGGAGCAATTGATGAGTAGAATTGTCAAATTCGACCTTGTTCAAGATGGTGATGATTTGCTTACTTTGTATTCCACGTATTAAAAGTATTAACATAAAGTGATATTCAGAAATCTTTAATTTATTTCAAAATTATGTTAAATCATAGAAGAATAAATTGAATTTCCAAAAATAAATTGAATCTCAAATAAATTGAACTTGAAATAAATAGAATTGTATTCAAAGTTATGGCAAACATAAGAATGATAAAAATTCAAATGTCTCAACAAATTATAAGCATAAGTATTTCTAAA